CACAATTCTCACGGTTTTTAAGACTGTTTGAAGCACTCTTCAGTTTCAGAGCCTATTCTGCAGAAATCCTGATTGGCTGCTCTGATATGGACATGTATTGCTCTGATGTGAAGGAGGAAACATTCTGAATAAAAGGGACTTAACAGGTTTCCTTCAATCTGTGAGACTTGCTGAAAGCTAAATTCAGTTAGTAATTAAAATTATGGATTTCATTGTATCTAATATAAATTACATGGCTTATGTTATATGAAAGCAAATGAGCTACTCCTCCAAAAAAGTCAAAACTGTGAGAGATATGGAAATGAAAAGCTAACTTGCTAGCATGATTATTGTAAATTGTACACATACCCACATTTCTGTAAAAAACTTGGGATGATAAGCCTACCAAAAGTTAATTTATCAGACTGGATTGGGTGCAATCTGTATAAGCTTTAATCAATTTCTCCAAGCCTATCAGTCATGGAAACCTCACAGTTTATCAGAGTCATTGTTCAAGTATTTAACTACATTATTAGAGGACAGTTTTGACTTTCCCTAACACTGAACATAAAGTCTGCTGTGAATAAAATTGAAACTTCTTGGTGCCACCTTGGTGAGCACAGGGAAAAGTTAGCTCAGGTCTCTCAGTGGCAGCATTTCCAAGTCTGAAGGAAACTTGAGTCTGCTGCCTGATTTTATCCCATTTTCCTGAGCCAAGCCAACCCTGCAAATTCTCTGTCCAAACTCCAGTTTCCCCATGTCCTCCCTGCTGTGCTGTGGCTGAGTCCAGCCCCCAGAAACTGCCTCACCAATGGCCCCTGTCTCTGATTAATACATTTAAACAAAGAGATTTATGTTTTTCTGCCACAGCCCTGCACAAGTCCTGTCTTTCCCACAGCCCTGACACCATATCACTTATTTCCCTTCCCATTTGGCATTGGTGTGGTTGACTTTTCCTCTGAAAGAACCAACTTTATCCTCTTTACTTAATTTTGTCTTATGGATTTCAAGCTGTTTCACCCATTTATCAAAAAGATTTTTAATTCTAAGCCTACTTGCGCTGCCTCTGAGTGTGGCATTGTTCAAGAATGTGGCATCTCATTGCTTGAGATGTGAAGGAAGTGGTGAATAGCAGAAAATTCAGGACCTACAGACTATTGATAAAATTATTCCTTGATAATGCTTTCTCAAACAGACCTTGCTCCTGACTGATTTATTATGAATCATACTTACTGTTATGACTGAGTCATATCAGAAGTCTCCCTAAAGTGAAAAACATCTGTTCTTGTGGGCAGAGTGACTTCCTCCCTCACTAGGCTTGAGAAGCTTATAAATTGTTTGTTTAAAAATTTATGTTAGCATCTCCCCAGATACCAACTTAGCCTGAATCTTTGGCTTCCATTCCCTTGCTTTTTTATTTCTTTTTTCCTCATCTAAAGACATGTACTGTGCCTATTGGGACTATTTATACCCTTTGGGAGTTCTCAAAGCAAATCACTGCTGGTTTAGAAACTGCATCTTTAAATATGCTGAGGTAACTCAGAAGATCTCTTGACCTGGAAAAGCTGCTTCATGTAAAGACCCTTTTATTTGCTGAGATGTTCCATATGGGGAGTTAGTACACAGCCAACAGCATGCCATAAATGCAAATCCCACTTATTGCCCAGCCATTTAACCTTGTAAACAGACCTTAAATCTGACTTTTCTGAATCTAAATACTCATTTCTTTCCCTATTCTCCCTTGCATTCATGCTCCCTTGCTAATTCTGATCATGTCAAACCTTTTGTCATGTTTACCCTTTCTGTGAAGAGTGAAGAAGAGGCACTGAGCACATCAGCCTTGCCTGTGTCACCTGCAACCTTCTCTCCTCCCTGCTGGATTTCTGCATTTTGCCATGGGAGTTAGACTCAGGCTTTGCTTTGTTTCTGTTATGAATGTTTGAATAATGGGAACAATACAGCAGCAGTGATATGTAAAATTTCTCAAAAAAAAAAAAAATTGATTAAATTGAAGAGGAGCAGCCTCTTCCCTCTCTTCAGCAGCAGCTGGCAAGGGATGCTCTAGGTGACTGCACCTGAACTTAACTAGGGAAAAGGATGCAAGGTAATTGCTTCTTATTCAGTTTAGAACACTGATTTCCCCCTTTAAACTTAATTTTTGGTCTTCAACTTTATTCTTTTAAAATTACAGTTAAACATTCATTTTCAACATCTCTTTGCAGAGTACAGACTGAAAACACTAAGGAAACAGAATCATGGACTCAGAATGGCTCAGCTTGGAAGGGACCTTAAAGATCACCTAGTTCCATCCTCCTTGTCTTTTATTTTTCTTTTCTTTCCACCAAGCATCTGTAGGGGAAGAATAATTTCCTGTGGAAATACTGAAAATGTCACAAATCCAGTCAAATTGTCTGATGCAAATAAAAGCAGAGAGCTGGGGAAAAAAAATCAAAAGGCCTCACTGAAGAACTCTTTTTTTTTTTTTTCCCACAAAGTAAATAGTGCCTGGGGTCTAGTTTTGCCAGTATATTTGGAAAAACTAGATTGTCCATATTTGTTTAATCAAGTTATTCCCCATTCTCGACTGTAATCTTTAGCATTGTTCCCATTCGTGCAGTTAAGATTCCTGGAGGAACAATATACATTTCCCTAAATTATTCTTAATCTACATCCTATTTCTCACATTTATATTTCCAATTGATTTGCAATTCATTTTGTGACATTTTTGGTTTACTTTGTTTTGGACTTCTGCTAAACAAAGCCTGCCAACAGCATTCCTCAGAAGGCTAATGAACTTGCTAGAATAGCAGTCACTCTCTTAGAAACCTTGTGTGTATTTTTAATTTGTATTGACTCTGAGAGATCCAGATAATTTAGCAAGTTCCATGGCAGACATGAAGACAAATGCTCGTGCTGACTTTTACATTCAAACCTGCCATTAGAGCACATTTGTTCAGGACTGCAAGGGGTGACCCAAACAAAACAAACTAAACAAACCTCATTTCCAGGGAAGTTAAAAACTTTGGCATTAGTCCCAACAGAGACTGAGACAATCTCTGCATCATTTGCACAACAGGGGATTTTGTGGGGAGTTGAAATTGATATTGTATCTGTTGTGCTAACTGATACCATCACACTTTCCTTGTTGCTTTTGCCTTCCTAAATGGATTAAAGTAATAGCATTAATTAAGCCAACAGAATTAATTTAAGATAAACAATGTTATCTACTTAGATACAAATAGTACATAATAGTACATTACAAGCTATCGTGATGGTGTATTTCCCCAATAAGAATTTAAATATTAATGTGCTAAACTTGTCTGTCTCTTGAATATTTATTCTAAGGCAGAAAAGTACTGAGAATTATAACCTGTTGCAGAAAACAATAATTAAGAAAAGGTAAATCTCACAGAAGTTATTTTTAACTCTGGAATTTACCAGTGAATGGAGCAGTAACTGGCCATCTATTCCCCAGGAATGAACCCAGTGAGCGCCTCCCAAAGATTAAACACACTATTGATTTCAGTACAGCCTGAAAATACACAGTGCCTTAATAAACTATTTCTCATATTAAGGCAATCCTTTGCTACAGCTAGTGACCTTCACATCACTATTACTTAGTTCATTTATACATTAAGAGACATAAAACCACAAATCAAGGGTGCTCAAGTTATCCAAGCTGCATTCAGCATCACTCAATGTACAGGTCAGTCATCTGTGGAGTTTTCTGAAAATACAGCTTGTGTCTTTGGAAATTATTTGACAGGTAAATGGAAGTAATAGGAGAGTAGAAAGGGAAAGTCAAATACAAGCAGTATTGAGCTGCCCACATCTGCTGGTCAGACTATTTGTGAATATATATACATATATTTTTATATACATAGGTAAACTTACACACCTAAAATCCAGACAGACACTTCAGTATAAATGTGTATATACATACATGGAAATATGCAATATGATACAGACATGGACATAAATTTCTATTTGACTGCAATAAATATATATCTTTCTTCCAGATATCACATACGTTTTTCCCTCTCAAATCCTAATTTTAACTAAACCTGTCTAAATCCCAGTAGGCACTTGTATGAGTCTTTTAATATAAAATAAATGTGCCAGGTAATATTCACAAATATCCAAAAGTAAGAAAGGGTATTTTAGAGTCAAACTGGGAAGAAAAATTTGGATACATGATGCTAATATCAAGGTTAACCTGTCATATCAAATACAGATATATCAAGATTAAGAAACACCTTTCTTCTTGTCCTGAATAATAAAATAAAATCAACCTCTTTGTGTGCTTTGTAATAGAGATTTCTATAAAACTGCCCTTCAGAACGGGTTCTTAAATGTATAGGCTACCATAAAATAAAGCTTTTCATATCATCTATTATCTTGCTTTGGAATAAAGCAAACTTGCTCGTGTATTTAAAATGGGATGATATTCATGGACAACTTCTGCTGTACGAAAATGGGATAAGTGCCCTGAAACGCTTTCAGGCAGGAAGCCAACGATCTCCATGCCTTATACAGAAGTGGCAGAGTGATTTTTTTTTTTTTTTTTTAAAAGGTGCACCTGCTTTAGATGAAAGAAATTGAATTCCAACTCCATAACTGTCAAGCGGCACCGCAAATAATAGAGCCTAAGCGGAATCATTGCAGCAATATTGCTATTTTCCTGTTGGGGCGATGGAGCAGAAACCAGCCTCAGCTCCTGACAGCACTTTACCTGCACGCTTTGGGAACAGTTCCATTCATCATTCCTCTGCTTAAGCCCTTTCAAAAACATGTTCTTCATTCCCAAGTTAATAAAACCTTTGGTTAGCTAAGTGAAAAGTGTAGGGAGGGAAAAAAAAAAGGAAGGACCGTGGTTTTGCCAGATTACATAAATTCCAAAGAAAATACTACAATAAATCATTTGAGCTCTTGCATGTAATATTTCTTACGTGATGCCCCATGCTTGAGGCTGTTTCTTCTGTTGTCCCATAAGCAGCTGAATCCTCATTTCTTTTTTGCAGCTCTCAATAGGATGAAGAGAGCAGCAGGACAATGAAGACAATCATTTGGGTATTGATAATCTGACTGAGCGCGTTTTTCATTTGGGAAGATGCAGTGTGAAGAAATTGCTAGCTCTCTCCCTTTTATCCTTACATAATCATACAGAAGAATGAAGAAAAAAGCCAAAATCTTTCTTTTATGTCAATAAAACAACATTTATTTTCAAATCTGTCCATGGCAAGACTCAAATTTATGATCTGCTGCTGCAGTGACACCATCACAACCGCTCCTGACAAGATTTTACAAGGGTACAGACCATTTTGCAATAAAAATTTAGTGCCATGTTATGCTGCTTTCATTAAAATTTGATAGCACAGATGAATTCCCTCCTTTTTTTGGATTTTTTTAATACACATGAATGTTTATCCACAATCCAGAGAAAAATGAATGAATTAGGTTCTGTTTTTACTGAGATATTTCAGTGACTACCAGTGATAATACCTCAATTATGTTTACCTAACACAAACTCGCTGTCTTTCTGCTGAGTAACTGCTAAAGCCAAATGCTTTCATTTTCTGAGTTTTTAATGTGTTAGTGCTTAATTTATCTGGGGAGACATCACTGCAACACCTGGGGCAAGAAAGGCTTTTCCTGGGTCAGTCAACCATTGATGTGCTAAGGACACACAAAGCCCCAGTAGCCAAATGGTCTAAATCCCTGGAAACATTTTGGAAAACCATCCTTTTAATCATACATTCGTTAATGGAAAATCTAGGTGGGCTCAGAAATTTGCAGCTTAATCTACAAAATTCAGATTTACAGAAACCTACCATTGTCTCACCACTGGCCATGTTTCATCACAAGCAGAGGTACTGCTGTGGAAAAAAATGGGAGAGAAGAGAAAGGAGTGTGAAGAAGGGAATAAAACCAAAAAGTACAAGTTCAATTGAGAAAAAAAAAAAAAAAAAAAAAAAAAGAATCCTAAACCATCACTTTTGGACAACTGAGGTTCAGTAAGATAAATCCTAAACCTCCTGAGTATCCACCCTCTCCTTTTGTTTGTTCCACTGGAAGATTCAGGGCAAATACAGACTGAAATCTTGGATGCCTTGCTTGAGTGAGGAATACAGGAGGTTTGATATTCCCTCACTCTTCCTCAAGAAATTTAGGGGAACAATGATACAAGCAAGGATTTTTTGATTGAACCTTCAGGACTGTAAGAGTAACTAGGTGCAATATTTGATCTTAGTCTTGCTGTCAATTTGTAAGAATAAAAAAGCCTGACTGTGACATGCCAGAACATTTTAAATTAAGTCTTTTTTTAAAAAACCTTGGAAAAACTGTAGCTACTATAATTCACTGAAACACTCATCCTTCCTTATGCCCTGCTTCTAAGAGTAGCATTTTCCCCCCACATTTAAATAATACAGCAAATTGTTTTTAAATCTATCTATTCTGTTCTCCAAGAGATGATTTTCTATTCTTTATTCCTGAAGTTTCATTTTATGTTACCAGCTGCTCCAGTGTAAACAGTATCCCAAATGCAAAAGATTAAAAAAGCAAATTAAGCTTGATGCTCCTTGAACGTTTCCTACAAACACTTAAAGGACCAGACTTCAAAAATCCTTCTTATATTTTCCTAACAAACACTGATCTAGACCACAATCAGCAATGTTAATATGAAGTTTTTTAGCAGTTCCTGGAAGACATTAATGCTAGAAGAGAACATTGGCACCCGATATGTATCTACAAGATTAAATTTAGGGTGGCAATTACACCTTTCTTCAAGTACAGTCTCAATCAATAAAAAAGATTTCTATTACTTTGCCTCCCTGCCTACCAGAAACAATGCTAATGATCCAAACTGCCTGCCAAGATTGGATTTGAAGATCTCAAACAGCTTTCCCTGCCTTGCAGTCTCTCACTGTGTTTCTAGAAGGGACTATTTGAGACAACCTTCACCCCATCTATTGTTAGACAATTCAGAAAAGGTTTGGGTCACTGAGGATTGTTCATGTGTGGTTAGAAAAGAGGAACAATTGCTAATAAATTGCAACACTCGAGCCCCAGTACCTGATACCAAACTATGGGTGAGCTACACTTGTTTTGGCTCACAGGCCATGTCAGTGTAACTCTCCTTTCTGAAAGGTGAATTTGGCACCTTCCTTTTCTCACTGTCACTTCAGCATTTAACTAAGTTGTTTCCCCCTTGATTATACAACATGTTTTGCTAAAACTCCTTAGATGTGACAAGTACTTAACTCTCCAGTTGTGTTTTAAACAGGCTCTTGGATAAGAGAAAATTTACTCTTTGGAATTTCATATGTGTTTTACACCTTGTTGAAAGCTACCCAAAAGGGACATTTTCTTGGGAGAAAAAAAAAAAAAAAAAAAAAAAAAGTCTTATTTTTCTAAACCTTGTCTTATAAGCCACTGCTTCTGTTATATGTCCAAAAATACAGTGAGGATTTAAAGACAGAAGCCTTAGTAACAGCACTCTACCAAAAAATTGTACCAGCTCAGTAGAGTCACCTGAAGTTATGAGTTACTTAGTTCTAATTTCTAATTGTCATTATGACTTCCAATATTCTTTGTTTGCTGAATACTTATTTCAAAATCCTATTAAACCCAGAATAAATAGGGTACAATAAATCATGATCTCTTTTTATGGGAGCAGCAAACAGAGCCATTAGGCAGGAGGGGGGTTTTGCTTAATATAAATCTTTTTGAGACCACAGTAATTGGCAGCTTTAACTCACCCATGGATGTTTAAACATTCATCACTGCCTCTATTCTTTTAGGATTTTTCTTAGGGTTTGTGGTGTTTTCAATACAAAAACTGCCCCCTACCCTTTCTCTTCCTAGAAAGCAGGAGGCTGAGAAATGTATAAAGTAGTTTGGGGTTTTTTTTGCCACTATTAACCTTTGCCAAAAAGATGGAACAGGTTACAAGCTCCATTGAACTTAGGTATGCTTGCACATAAGTGCATCAACAGAGTACATCACCTCAAAACCTCAGCTCAAAGTAGAAACTGTTGAAAAGAAAAAAAAAGTTAAAAACTAAAAAAAAAATTTAAAAAATTATTAATGGAAAAATAGCCATGTTATTCAAAATTCCATAAGGGAAAATACCATTTAGTTTTAAAAGGTTTTTTTTTCTCTCATGTTAGGAAGTGTCATTTAAGTTCAAAGAAGTGCACATTCCCCCTGTAGAATAGATAAATACAACACCATCACTCTTTTTAAAATAAGCATTTTTGCATCAGAAATGTCCCACTTTTGGTGCCTGCAGATCTCATTCCTTGATTTATCCACAAATAATTACAAGAGCAGAAGCCACTACTTCTGGCTTGAGGGAGACCACTCGCAGGGAGAGAAGCATGATCTGGTTTCTATGAGTATTCCCTGCTCAACCTTCCACCAGAAAACCCTGTTCCCCATGGATCACTGAGACAACAGCTGGGATGAGTGGAAATGAGGAAAGTTTGGGGCACATTTCAAACTGATGACAATTTGAGAGGGTCTGTCAAGTCATATACCACATCCCAGATGAGAAAGGCTTTGCAATACTACATATACATAAATAAAGGAACATGGAATTATGCACAGAAATATTTTCCTTTTTAATTATTTAACTACAAAAGCTGTAGCTAATGATATGCTCTGTTGACCTTATACTACATCTTTATGCTCAATTAATTTTTTAACATTAATATCATTTGGGGAAAAAGCAGGACTTGCCAGAATATACAAAATATGCATAACAATATGTACCTCTAAGATTACTGTTTATACTTGGGCAAACTAATTCCTGCTCAGGAGCTCTAGGTAGGAGCTGCCACATCCAATATTAATGATCTTTATTCAGAAGAAGTTGTCACTGTGCTTGAGAGCAGGAGCTCAGAGGCAGGACAGGAAGGGTTTCAGGACACAGAAATTCATCTGTCCTCTATATTGGTGCCCATCTATTGGGTTTGGGGGATTTCAGCCAGTTTCTGCCAGGAAGAGGAACACACAGGTGCTTCCTGCAGTTCTTTTAGAAAAGCTCCAGGCCCTGCAGAGGTGCAGGAGCTCCTGCAGAGGTGCAGCTGGCTCCCCCAGCACAGCCTGCCTTCTCTCCAGGCACTCCCATACCCAAGAGGATGTGCTCTGTCTCTGCTCCTAAAGACACAAATTGCCTTTCTTTTCTGCCTCTACCTGAGTCCCAGGCAACTCAGTTCCAAATTGACTTCTTAGTGACCTCTTCAGAGTTCAAAGAATTACATCCTCTTTCCCCTTTCTGTGTCAGACCCAGTTCTGTTATCACTTTCCAGTGTGACAGGTAACTCCACAACTTCCCACACTCTGCAGCTAACCTGCCTTGGAGAAGCCTCTCTATTAAAACTGGAAAGTGACTCCAAGGAAAAAACCCTAGCTTGAAAAACTCTCAGTCTGAACCAGAAAGAACTTTTAGCCTGGTGATCATCATTTTGTCAAGTTTCTTTTGTACTAACTTTGCTCTTGAAATTTTATTCTTCTGTCATGACAGTGTTTTGGGCGGAATCAGCCAATATCCCAGACGACTTCTTTGCCACCTGGCTAGATTTCTTTTCCCTTTGTTTAGGAATAATTTCAATCTAGACACACAACTTGCTGCCATTTGTGCTGTACCAGGAAGATGGGAATATCTTGCAATGAGTTTACACTAAGAGGACACAGAGACTTTTAATCAGTTTGCCTTACAGCCATGGGAAGAAAGGAATCTGCTCCTGATTTGCTCTCGTGTTCCTGCCTTTTTCCTTTCTTTCTTTTTTTTTTCCCCTGAAGCAGCTTTCAGCATGAATTACCCACGAGTGATTTATTAGATTGTCAGTGCTGTTAGAGTCCATGTCAGGTGTATGACAGATTTGTCATAAGGGTGCAGCAAACCCAGATTACCCTGTTCAAAAGCTGCATGCCTTGCTATACTCTGTGTCAAGCTTCTGAGAGTCAACAAAGGGTTTGTCACTAACATGGATGTCTCAGAGAATGAAGATCCAAACCTTTGTGATTATCAAGCCTGTTTATTTCACCTTTTAACTAAGTCTGCTGGACTGAAATAGAATTTCAACTCACACAAGATGAAGCAGCCTATCTGTTTAATACCACAAGCCACTATCAACCTCATATGTTCATTTGCCCTTTAATACAGAGACCATTTCAAAATCTTTCTCCTGCTATTAAAACACTTTTAAAAGCTTATACCCTTATAA